CGGCTCTTACGACACCCACGGGATGAATTGGGGTAGTGACATTCCGTATTCTTAATCCGTCACTACACGGACTTGTTTTAAACGCCATCTACTAAAGGGGTTTTGAGAAATTTCTCCCTTAAGGTGGTATAAAAAGGTATGGAGGGTTGTATGGAAATCATTTTCTAAAATTATAAACACTTAATAGGAAATAATCACTCAAGAGTAGCCAAGACATAGATGCTTTCAAGTCTATATCGTGCCCATTTAGAGCCCGATAAAACCGACCACGGAGTTCTATGACCTTCCATACTTCCTCCTTCTTCTTTCCTATTGATAAGTACTAAAGTACTGCAGGTTTGCGCCAAATCTCTTTAGCTAGAATGAGCGGAGTGAATCCGGTATCTGATAGTCATCACTGCAAATACATTACAAATATTACGACTCTTTAAGATTTTTTATCTCGCGATTGTGCAGGGTCTCGATATTTAATAGTTCGCGACCTCAAACTTTCGCGAGATGTACAATCTCGAATGCAGTAAGCAGTATACAGAGTTCTATCACGGGCATCTAATTCGGTCTGAGTCCATCTTAGTATACCGAAGGAATACATCAGAACCGGCATGACCCAACTGTTGTACCCTCGCACCTTATTACCCCCAGATAAAAGACTTTTAAGTACATTAATCTGGCGTCAGGTAAAGGAGCGTTCCTGCAACGTTTGTTTCATGTTATAATCTGGTATTCCAAAAGACTGTGATATACCTATATACTTACTTATAGGTTTTGATGTCAGACAAATTCTAGTACCACGCCCATATTTACATACATGATTTGTGTAGACAAATCAAGTACTAAATTCCGTATTGATAGAATTAATTACTGGAGCTAGGAGTTTCAAGTTATCTGACTGATAACACAATTTATATTAGTACGGTCGTCAACGACGAACTCTTATATATTCAAGAATGTTTTGGGTTTTATTAAATTGGTATTACTATATGAAATAAGAGAAATACTTAGAACAAAGTGATGAAAGTAATTAATAAATTATTATTATTATCTATTTAAAGAAAATGACTTAAAACTCCAGGATAGTGAAGTGCCGTTCTCCATTTCCCCATACATGACTTCAAGAAAGTGCACAGATTTGTATCAATTTTAATTTTATTTAGTTGTAGCACTTTGAAAATATTTATATGTTGACCTGAGTCATTCATAAGTCTTCTTATAGTCTATCCAAAATGTCACCAGACTCTTACAATTACGACGTATCTGTTGGCTAATAGTTATGACTATGATAAGGAGCTCTTTAGTGCCACGGGTCCCAGTTCTCAATCCATTCTGAGAAACGGAAATTATTGAATTGTTATTAATGTGTGTAGTAATTTTAAGTCTCAGAATAGATGTTAGAAGTTTATACAAAGTTGGTAAGCATGTTTGGTCTAAAATTTTTGGAATCCGTGACACTGGGTTATACCAGTAGTCAAAAGGTCAAGTCCGTGTGGACCAGTTGTTTTCCAATTCGGTACTGAACGGACTGCACAACTTACATCATTTTAATCGATGATAACAGGTTCGATAGCTCTGACAGCACGCAACAGATCACATTCTGTATGAGTGACAGGCACTGACTAGATGTTACGCCAAAATGTGGCTGGCATGGCTCCAGTTTCTTCCATTGCCGGTACACCCACTTCTCTTATTATTATTTTTAAGTTTTTTTAAATTTATTTTCCCATCTCTATTTTAATTTTCTACGTTAATGTAAGATTATCATTTTTATGTACCCGATAAATTTTATTTTAACTGGAATATTTGTGTTTTTTAATGCAGAAATCTTATTTATAATTTGACAAATTTCGTTATTATTCGTAAGAGAGTAGGCTGACAGGTTGGCTATAGGTATTTAATACTGTGTTGATGGAATGATCGAACTTGTTCGAAGAGGGTGGCATAAAGAAATACATTTTTGTTACAGGGCTCCATTATAACCATAAAGATGGTAAAATGGATGGTAAAAAAATAATGAGGTGGTCGCGGATATCATTCAATAGACTCAAATAGGACCTATTGAGAACGTCAACAATAATTTATAAATATTTAAACATTTTTCAAAATTCATTTACATACTAGCAAACCCGATAGACGATGGAGATTCAATAAATTTGGTTCAATGTCAATGGAAAAAGCATTTTGATTTTTCTACGGATCACCATTTTAATAACAACTTTTATATTTTTCTTTTTAAAAACCTTATTCGGACTGTTACAGACTGCGCTTTAAAGGAAAAAGTCTCTGTCCAGTGATACATAAGGTTTTCTTTTTATTGGGACAATGCAGTTGCATCCTGCACCTCATTATAATAAGATGAAAAAAACAAAACAAAATTAAACGCGTTACCTAAACTAAGGATCACAGATTTATCAAAAAATATACCAACGAACATTTGTTTTCTTTTTTTATCGCAATCGGCCCATATGATTGTTATACGTATACATTTATACATAATATAATAATATGTATTTTGATTCCAAGGAAGGTCAATGACTTCGTTCAAACGGCATTCTTGGTAAAAGGAATCATAATTGGTAATTTTAGCTGGGTATTTAAATAACCAACGTGCCGAAATACCTAAGCCGCGACGACCCAAACCGAGAATCCGAACCAGTCTGATTACTTTGAGTGATAACGTCATTATAAGGTTCATATAAAAATACATACATACTTAAATTATAAATGTGTAAATTTGTTTGTTTTTACGCTTTCACGCCTATACCACTATACCGATTTTAAAAGTTCTTTCCCCAATGGTAAGCTACATTAGCATCGAGTAACATAGGCTACTTTTTACCACGATAACCGACAATTTTTTAAATCGGTTTATTGGATTAGGCGTGAAAGCGGAACAAACAAACGAACAACCTCACTTTTTTATTAATAAGTATGGATTATATTAAAAGTCTCGCATATAGTATCTGCAATCTTATACAAGTAATCAATATGGTCAAATTCCCTAGTTTCACCTACAGGGGAGAAAAATTAAAGAATTAAGAAATTTACTTCATTACAATATTGTAATACTTATTTATTATAATATTTAGTACGAGGTCATCTATTCCATCAACCCTCAGATGGGATATCAGTAGAGTGTATTATCAACGAAACAAATCCATAATAAAGTTGTTCAAAAACACCGAATCGAATTAAATAAATCGTTTTTCTGTACGTGATTTAAAAAAAAGTATGTAAAGGAGTAATTCTATTTGATCATATTTTTTTTATTCTTGAAACCATTAACAGTAGCAAAAAAGCGATAGTTTTTGTCTTTGTCATTCAAATCTGAGTTAAATCGATTTAACGTAAATAAGTGTTTTTTAAGCTCTTTTTATATATTTTCCTTTAGATGTACTTAAACAATTTATTATGACCTTCAACCATTGCTACAGTACTACAAATGTATTGATTGTTATTGGAATTGAATTCAGCGTCCACAGCAGGTAATTTCCCTACCCCTAGTACTTCAATAGAATGTTTTGACAACATTATAAAGCTAAGTAGTTTGCTTGAACTCGAAATTGAAATTTATTGAAGAACCTTAGGGACACTCCTTCAGAGTTGTGTCCTACGGAATAGGCTGAGGTGGCTGTTTACCAGCTTCCTTCATAATCACATGTTCCCTTCCGACTGGAAGGAAACCCGGCTGGTACTTATCCAGAAACCTGGCAGAGCTACAGATTTTCCCGGCAGGACGTAAACTCTTTGAAAGAGTTTTCGCCGCCCGTATCAACCACCACCTGTCACAAGTGGGCCCTGACTTATGAGACAACCAATTTGGCTTCTGACAAGGACGCTCGACGCTGGACGCGATCGAACGCGTCCACTCCTCGTCGGAAGAGGTTGTCTGTCGGGGTGGCGTGGCGTTGACCGTCAGTCTTGACATATTCAACGGTTTTAACTCCCTCTTGTGGTGAGCGATTAGGGAGGCACTGGTACATCACCAGTTCGGGACATCATCGGGGTTTATCTCCACGATAGGTCCATATCGTATATGGATCGGACGGCAAAGTACTCCTGTATGATGCCGTCCTGGGGACCAGCCTTCACCCAGGATTGAGTGTGGTCTGTTACGTGGACGACACTCTGGTACTGGCTGGGGGGCATGGCGGGAGGAGCTCATAAGACGGAAGCCTTGAAATGAAAACCGGAAGTAGGTGCATTTTGGTTACAATGCTGATATGGACCCGAAGCTCTATGACCAGATTCGCGTGATCCGCCCGGGTGGAGAGCAGGGAAGACGAGGACGAGCTAAAAATGCGATGAACTGCTCACCGACAGACACTGGTGCAATTTCGGTTGGTACAGTCGCGGAACGCGCGCCATCGCACTGTCGATGTCGATTTACCTAACCTCGACGCTTGGGTAGGCAGGGAGGGAGGTGGTGTTGCCTACCTACTGATGCAGGTACTTACTTGGCATGGATGCTTCGGTGAGTACCTGAATCGGATTGGACGCGAGAAGACCGGATGCCATCCGGATTTCGTTGCGGTGGATCATTTCAGAAGAGATTGAGTATTGATATAAGAATTGACATAAGGCTACAATAAAAAAAAATGTTTTGATTTAGAGCAAAGATTATTTTTTAGTGCGAGTGATAGAACATTTAAAGTGGGTCCACTACATCATGAAAAGTTAATTTAAAATTAACTCGTATAATTCGAACTTAGTTATTTCTTCCACACATTATTTCTATAATACAGGTTTGCAAGCGTGAGTTATCTTAATTTTAAATAGAATCTAGATTGATTTTTTAGTATTAACAAACTTTTCTGAATGATTATCTTTTGACACAACTACCTTGTGTACCTCAGTTAAAATATACTAACGCTATAGGAATAATTTATTGGCAGTGTTACGACAGCTAAACCATATAGCTATACATGCTCACAGAGGCAACATTATAGGAAAGAAAGATTTGAGGTTTTGATTACGTCATAACTGTAAATTATACCAAATTACAGATGCCGCCAAACTTGTCACGGAGCCTGTTGCCAGAGTCTGGGAAAAAAATCGAGATACTAGAGAAGGCGAAGTCAGCAGAGAAATTGGAGAAAGCTCTTTCCTTGGAGTCCTGTGTCAGCGTCCCGACCGAAAAGTGCAGCTACGACGAGGCTACATACGGTATAGGTTACTACTCACTTTATTAATAGGTTTCATTCTATAGGTTCGTTTATAACGTTGTTGTTCTAAGTCTGGGTCTTTTATAATTCATATTCTAAAGGATATTTTTTTGTGCCCAACCACCGCTTCTGTACACCTTTTTTTTTAGTTTTTCATCTGTAAATGGATCCAAATGTAGCATCTTGTGTTTGGCTTCCTGCTATGCTACCCTGACTTCTAAAAATCTCTGTTCTCGATTGGGGATGTTGCTGCTGGGGTTAAGGACTGTAAAAATCAGATCCATAAGTCCATACCACATGGTATTCCCGTTTTTGGATTCTTTCTATTCCAGGTGGATGGCCCAAATGTAACAAACAAAAGTAAAGATTCTTACATTTTCTCACTAGGCCCCTCTAAAATGTACCTTGCTTAATTACTTAATTAACTGTAGAAAGTGATAATTTGTACAAAAAATGAATGAAAATAATACAATTTTAGCAAGTAAAAAGTGAGTAAACAAAGGATAACTGAATACTGAAAGGATACTGATTATTATTAGTACCTTAGCAATATATAGATAAATCAATTATAATGTGAATAAATAGATAGTCATAACCACTAGTAATTATGATTAATTAAGTGATTATAAAAATGAATTATACAACGCTAAGCCGATTACGGCTTCTTACTTAACATCACTTGATTTACTAAAAGGTAATAGTTAAAATTGAAAACATTCTCCAGGTGTTCCTTCCAATAGAAAATATGTATTAAATATCAAACATATTTAGGAAATGTATATCAAAACACTAAGACGCATCAATGTGGAATTAAACACTAAGCCCGTCCTGCCCAGGCGACTGTACCTCTCGACATGCACCACGCTGGCTTAACGGGTTGGGTTAGCTATATAGTTTGTTTCAAGTTTTCCTTTTCTTGCAGTGCTAGAGTACTATGTAGGGTGCTCTATTAGTCGCCTCCGAATAGGAGTGACACTCCGTGTTCCAAATCTGTCACATTAATTACCGTTATGTTATTTTCACTTTTCATTCTTTTAACGAGTCGTTTATATTTTATACGATCACTATATTTCCTTTTTTTAATACATTTAATACATAAAGCATCGTAAAAAAGATACACCTTCCTACCAAGTCGTCTAAACACAACTCCAGTTTGTGCTGTAACAAGGATGTATTCTTCTGAATGATATGATATATTTACCAGGTTCTAATTCACTAATCGACTCTTTTGTACAGTGGGATAGGTTAGTACCTCCTAACAATACCTTGAGATAATTTAATTTTATTGTGCTTACCTGAAACAACATGGTTCGGGTATTCCTCGAAGTAAGTTGCCTGAGACCGGCCGTCGGGGTGGTTTTTAGTGGAAACACCACATATTCCTGGCTCCTGCGTCCCCGAGGAACCGGAGATTCGAAGGGGTTTTCAACCCCATCAACAAAATACAGGGTACTACAACGCGTACGCGACTGACAATATATGAAAATGTTAAGTTGGTTGGTTGGTAACTTTTGGAGTTTCTAAAGCGTACAGCTTTAGAAACTCCAAAAGTTCTTCGCCGATTGAGGTCAAATTTTGACAAGATCTACAAACCGCCTCAAAGATTATCTAATATTCGCGTTAGTTTTGTTCATCATTTCTTATCAATGCAACCACAATGTATCACAGCAAAGCGTGGCAGGGTACAGCTAGTTATAAAAATAATATAAATAATCTATACATGATTTTTCAAACCGTCAAAAAATTGCATTCAAATTTAAAGGCAACGAATTTTTTTTTCATGTAATATTATTTTCTGCCCTGAACTAGGTGATGCGGTATTCTCAATGTTTCTCGTCTCACCCCAAGTGGTGAGTGTATGGAGAGGCACGTGGGGTATAATGGAACTGCACCCAGAACTGTTCCCATATGCCCAGATTTACCTGCTCGGCATTGTTATACACATATGTTTTGCATTACTAAGGTGAGTAAACCTAAGTTTAACGTCTATTGTGATTTTGATTAGAGAATTTTGAATTGCAAAAGTGAACACTACATTAAACACAGATTAAAATCTAAACTACAAGCAAATGTCTAGTCTGCTAGGAAAATACCCGAAACATACCCCTCTTTCACGGGGAACATTTCGAAAATGTTTACAATAATTTGGAAAAAACCAAAGGAAAGGAATATTATATAATGTAAATAAATATGTACAACGGGCGGTCTTATATCTAAAAGCATTTCAACCAGACAATCTTTGGGTATAAATAAAATTAGTTTTAGTAAAAGTTGCATGTGTCGGCGTGACAATCAGATTTCCTTATGGTGATCAATCAAGTATTATTAAATAGCGTATTAAAGGCCTAGTTGACATCGTATTAATTTGTACGTATGATACTGATACTAATTGTATTAATAAGTATAATACGTCGCCGTTAATGGTGGGTGAGCCATGCTTCGGTATAAATGGGTTGGTTCGACCGGAGTTCTAATACCATGACCTCACAGAAAACTGCAATTTTTCTTTAGTTTTATATCGTTGCTTTATGTTGATTAGTGAACAACCTTCCCCTGCCCCTTTTTATTTTTATTTTTTTTTCGTGCGGAAATCCCCCCGGATACCACCTGTCGGTGGCATGTCGGACTCGAACCGACTAAAACCGCACGCCGTCTCGGGTACTAATAGCCGGGGAACCAGGTATACCCTAGAAAAGAACTCCCTGGTGCCCCGACATACCTCGGGCCATCTACAGACCTTCTCCTCCCCTAAACTCACCCGAGTATACTTAACCATCCTGTTTGTCTGTATAATATTGTAGAGTGCGATAAGACCGCCCATTGTACTGTTTATTTACAAATTTCCATATATTTGTGCTACCGTGTGACCCGTTTGTGTCGTAAGAGCCGACTAAGGGAGCAAACTACGCAGGACAACAGCACTGCAAAGAAAAGGAAAACTTGACACAAACCCTTTACTGACCCGTCTAGCCAGCGTGGTATAGTAGGCCACAACTTCCTTTCTGAGGTTTTCGCCACTGCTGGACATAGGCCTCTGCGTATATCCAACAGTGGACTATTAAAACCTGTTGATGATGATGACAATACTTTTTGGTATTCAATAATGAGTATCTGTCTAAATATTTTTCAAATACAAAAAAAAAGCTTTTTTGAGATACGACTGTACATTTTACCCAACAGAGCAAAACTCCTGGAACGTTCAGCAGGAGCTTACAGCAGTCCAGGGGGTGGACCTTTCTCTTGGATCACAGAGCGGATCTTGTCTAGAGTGTACACATACATCTTCATACTGTGTAATATAATGCATTGGCGAGGCGGTTTTGGGCTTTTTGACTTATTCATTTCTACCGTAGTACCTGAAGCAAGTGATCCTCATAGGTAAGTATATTTTTAAAAAAACGGCGTGAGGGTCTAGGGACCCCCAGTCAGAACGAAGTTATTTTCGCTTTTTGGTAGAAAAATGTACACAGTTAATACACAGCTGTAACTTTAGCAAGAAATGTCGGAAAAAGGTCTTGTTACACTTTTTCAGTCTCGCTTCCATCCGCTTAGAAGGACAACTCCCGCACTAGGCACATATCCTGTGTAGCGGGGGACTTTACAAACATATATGAAACGGACACAAAGAACACCCAGACTTAGAACAACAATTTATGGATCACACAAAGTGTTGTTCCATGTTTGTTTGATTGTTGTTGTTTGTTGTGTTTGTGATCGCTTAAACTACTACACCATCTGTGCAGTTATTCATGTCCTTTATTCTAGAAATATAAACTGCATAAGTGATTTTGTAATCCCATATGTATTTGTTTACATTCTATATTTAAAAATAAAAATCAATCAAGTATTTAAGTGCTTTATAACGACTGCACGGGATTAGGCTAATACTCATGAAAGATAATAATTGAAAAAATAAAAATCCTCTATCTGAATTGTTGTGTGTTTGTGACAGAAGATACAGTAAGAATAGTTAGGGCCTAGTGCAATGTTATTTCACATCCACTCGCTCTCGACAGCGCGTCCGGCGGCGTTGCGATTGGTGAAGATTTGCGTAGTGGTTTAAGCGGTCACCTCGCCGCTTACTCCTACGCTGAGTGTTGCGACGTTGCACAAGGGACGACACTTTGTGTGATCCACAAATTGTTGTTCTGAGTTTGGGTGTTCTTTGTGTCCGTTTCACGTATGTTTATAAAGTCCCCCTCGACACAGGATATATTCCTAATGCGAGAGTTGTCTTTTTTTTATAAAGTTATAAAGTAAAATAAAGTTAAGGCGTGAAAACATAGGACATTAACTCACAAACTCACATTCTCATTTATAACAGGTGATTAGGAATAATTAGTACCTTAACGTCAGTCTATGGATGGGTGACCATTCTTAACACATTGAGAACCTTCTGTGCCTCGGAGAGCTCATTAGGCCGTCGATCCCGTTTGCCATACGAACATCTGTGGCAATCGTTACGGGTATTCAGAGCTCTAAAAAGTCCAACAACACTCTTTCTACAGAACTTCGATATTATCGCATTGTACTTGGTTTGGGGAGGTTTGATAGAAGTCGCTCTGCGTAAAAAGTTCAGCGGTATCGTAGACTTAAAGCCAACCCGGGCGGGAAAGCGGGAGTTGTCTTTTATATAAAAAAAAAATAACCTGTATTCTTTATTCCTTAAGTTTCCACCATTAAATGTGTATGAAAAAAATTTGTGATGTTTAGAGTGTGCTAATATTCTCTAAATTATTTGTACAGATAAACCGGGATTTATACTCCATAAAAGAGCAGCATGAGAATAATTTTGAATCATTTAATTTATAATTTTAACTAAACCAATTTTTAAATTCAGAAAAATGTGAAGAGTAGCTCTCAGTCAGAGTTAGTCGGAAAGTTTGATGCCTATTGTGACAAGATACTCCATTTATCCATAATGTATATTGAAATAATTATCATATTAGATATATTTGTATTGTTATTTTTTAGTAGACTACCTAATAATAACAATAAGTAGTGAATCACTGTGGATATAATAATTTCTTCGTACTGGCTTGACTTTTAGAAAATCACTTCGATAATTGTTATCATTGATCGATTGTTGTTAATATTAAAAAATACACCTTAGCCTTAAAGTTGGGTACCGTAATATTTCGAGTTTACTTTAAATATGTAATAATAATTATCTTCACACGGCCGTCTGATCACAAACTAGGCAGAGCCTGTGCTATGGTAACCAGACTGCTGATATACATACTTTTATATTTTTAAACACATACATAATATTATAGATAAATTACACCCAGACATAGAACAAATGACCGTGCTCAACACACAATACTTGATATCTCTTTGGAAAGGAGATTTGGGCCATCGTTAATAATAAAGACAGTGAATATCATTGAGATTTGTACAAGTATTACAAACAAAATTTATATATATATATGACCATAGCTCTAAAAAGGCTGGTTAAACTTATGTATGGAGTCAATTTTTGAAACTCTCCGCCCGCTTGATATTAGTCCAAAGTTATGTATACCGGGCTATTATTATATTTATTATACTATAGGTACAATGAAACCTCTGATTGTGACGAAAACGATCTGACATACGAAAAAGGCGATCAAAGAAGTTAAAGAAAGAAATTAAGAAAAACTGTCGAAAAGCAGAACCTTTTAAGTTCTGTCGTTTCCATATTTCCCGGCAATTTTGAATTGGAACTGTTCCATATTCGAATGTGTTTAAATTTTGAATCTCAAAGCAGTTGAAAGTATTAGGATTAATGCTATTGTTTAGTTACAGCGTCGATTGGAATCTGTCAAGTTACGTACGAAAATGAATCTTTCTAAGGAAAATGTTCGTGCAATAATTTTCTATAACTTAGAGGCCTGACACGGCTTCAGTGTTTTGAAGAGCTAACATCTGTGTTCAGTGATAAAGCCCCATGTCTGCGGACTGTCGACCGTTGGTATTTAGAATTCCAGCGTGGACATACTAGTGTTAGTGACAAATCTCGCGAAGGACGCCTAAAATCCGCCTTCACTGAAGATAACATCATTGCTGTGAGACAACTAATTCTCAATGATCGACATGTGACGTATGGAGAGATAGAGGCGCTATTAGGCTACGCGGGTAACGCAGAATCGTATACCATAGTTTGTTTACCACAAGTCATCGCCGAACTTCGAAAATCTAACTCAAAGCGACGCATCATCCTGCACCACGACAACGCAAGCTCACACAGCGCTCGTCAAACGATTGAGTGTTTGAAGCAGGAAAAAGTAGAAATTCTTGACCATCCTCCAGACAGTCCTGACCTAAGCCCTAACGATTTCTTTACATTTCCTAAAATTAAGAAAAGTCTTCGTGGTCAAAGGTTCCAGTCCGGTGAAGAAGCAGTTAACGCTTTCAAGTGGACAAAACTGAAAAGGCATGCCTTGTAAAGCACCACAATGACTTGCAGCCTTTAAGAGACGCACTGGTCAATGTTTAACTGATAATTTAAAAATGAATAAGGTGGTAAAATCAAAACAACTTCCAAAGCGGGGTAACAAGGGAGGTCACAGAACAATTTCATTTACTAACGTTTTTTTTTTAATATTGAGCAAAATTATAACAAGCAGAATGATCGAGCTTATGTTCAAAGCTCTATAGAAGCTACCCTAATCGGGTAAAACGTGGGCATTATCCGACTTCAGTGATGGTTGTTATGAGGTGTTAGCTATCAAGGTGACTAGGTCATATTTTTGTGAAAAAGGTGTAAAACGTAAGCACAAGTGTATCAAAATACGATTCTTAAGAAGGTGGTTAAGCCTCTCACAACACCATGTCCCATAACCAAGAATGGTTCTTTCAGCAAGACTTCAATTCTTCTGACTTCATAGCTGGTCTGAAAATTGACCGTGTGGTCCCGATCTTAATTATGATTTATGGTCAGTTTTAGATAGTATGGCATGCTCGAAATGACATGATAATTTTAAAATGCAATGAAAAATTTGCCTTTCGATTGCCAATTTTTGCCATAGAGCGTGATACTATTGATACTGGCCTCAATGTTTAAAGGATTGTATTATGCTATTACATTACTTAACAAAACTATAAAATTTATGTATAAATATATGAACACTTCCTCGAGGCATACTCTATTATAGTTATCCGTAATCAAAAATGCATTTTACACCTCTTCTGTATTTGAGACGGAATATTATGTTTAACGTTCCGGATACACGTTTCAAATATTTTATTTATTAGGTTTCCTTCTCTTTTAATTACACTTATCTAATAACTTACTCATATTTTTCGTTATTTTCAGACCAGTACTCATATTAGCGGTCACACTTACATTCTATGTAGCAGCTGCTTTCCTACGGAGCTCAAGAAACTTCCTTGCGTCTCCTTACTTCTTAGTCACTGACGGCAAAGAAGCCACATACATCTTTACTACTAGGTTCAGAGTTTCGGTAAGTTACTTTCTTATTTTTCTCGTTTTTCTTCTATCTATGATTTTGTATATTATCTCAAAGCCAGCCTTTATTAAACTCTAGCTAAAATAATATATTGGATATATTAAATCAAAAGATTCATTTTTGCTGACATTACAAATTTAGTACTTCGAAAAACTTCTGGAAAAATAGTTTATGTACTAACATTTTACGTAGCTGTGAAGTCAGGTTAGAGTATTTGAGTACTGCTGATTAGCCTGCCTGGAAAAGACAACTGCATTAAGTGATCTTAATCGCATTATCTCTTTGCACTCAGGAGACACATTTCACAACGCATTTACCTTTTTCTATACAAACAACCATCAAACAAGTTAAAGCAACTATTTTTGTCATTTTTTTTTTTTTTTTTTCTTTTAAAAAGACAACTCCCGCCTTTTAAAAAGACATATATCCTGTGTCGCGGGGGACTTTACAAACACTCATAAAACGGACACAAAGAACACCCAGACTCAGAACAACAATTTGTGAATCACACAAAGTGTCGTCCCATGTGGGGATCGAACCCACAACACTCAGCGTAGTAGTGAGCGGCGTGGCGACCGCTTAAACCACTACGCCATCCGTGCAGTCAGTTATTCAAGCTACTTTCTTTCTTATTTTTACATATCAGGCCTTGTCACGACTCGTTATCAGATTCAGGCAATCACATAAAAAGTATAAAATGTAGAACAAGATCTGTTATATATACTTAGGGAGGCCATGCCAAAATCACAGCAGTAATGCCCCAAAGACCGTACTGTTAAAAATATATACCGAATTGATAAGAGAGACCAATGATAAGAAGATAACTTTTTTCTTGATAAGAACTAGGTGTCACCAGCGCCACGTCGCGCTGAACGTTCAGGCGCACGTACCCGACCATGAGTAGGGCGAATAAAGTGGGGTACATGACTGGATATAGTGGGTACACCCCGTTATCTTTGGTATACAGAAATCATGTAAATTTATTTTGGATTTTTTCTACCATAAGGCTATATTTAGCCTCGTGAGGATTCCAAATAATAGCGGCCGGTTCTAGATGACTACTTCTAGGTTTCTCAAAATAAATCCTAAATTTCTAAATGATTTACTGCATGTAGTAAAGATATGATTACGAAACGTTAACTCGGGCACCATTTCGACTCCCAAATCTCGAATGCTGTTAAAGTACGGAATCAACATCCATTTCATATGTATAACGCAGTGGAGCCCTAACCCGGATATAACTGATCACTTCGCATTAAGCTATATTAAAGTACAGCTTATTGGCATTGCTCCGCAGCAGTCTTTTTCTTCCTGCAGTCGCCTAGCGTCCGATGCGTCTGCTATCGGCAGATACACCTTAGGTCATAAAAAAGGTCATAAAAAGTAGGCACTCGGCATGCCGTAAGACTCCCGGGAGATGGATCATTAGTATGAATTCTATAGGTCTCAGAAGTCTTGAAAAAATAGTCGTAAGAGGTACACTTTGCTGCTGTTTAATGGCTAGTTAAAAATAGACCTAAAAATGAATTTAGAAGAAATTGCACATACACACACACCAATAAAAGGCAGTTGCACGCAATATGTCCTAATTTATACATTGTACTATAGCTGTAAGATTGTCGAACGCGATCTTCTGAGGTCACTGTATTGTAATAATCAAAACCACCAAATTAATTATGTACCACCAACTTTGGGCTAATTCATATGCTATTTCATATGTGAAACTTAAAAAACTATTGAGACAACTTTCACATCACATCATCACATCAACAGCCTTTAACAGTCCACTGTTGGACACAGGCCTCTCCTTAAATATGCCAATATAAAGTTATGTATCTTTTACTGAAATAAATTATTAGTATTATTATGGCTACAAGTGGCTCATTCGACGTTCTTACCTCTATGTCATACGCCATAAATGTAGTCATTACTAAATCTAAGTTACTCCTGCTCCTGCTGTACTTCCTACCTGCCGAAATCATCAGAACTCCAATATTCAAATATTCCAAAAAACATCGCATTTCTACCGTTGCTGATGGTATGTTTTATATTTGGTATGAACTATTTAGCCCAGATTCCGTAATTGCAAATACGTCGTAACTTGAGGCCAACAAGTTGGTGAAAAATGATTCTGTCTTTGTTCGCAATCCTCAGACATTTTGATAATATAAACAAAGGGACTTAGTGGCTTGCCTCATTTCTCTTGTTGGGCCTCTGGGAGTTGAGAAACCATACCCATGCGTTAAATTTTCTTTTAAACGAATTCTGATTCTGGTACTCCCACCATAAACGATGCGTATTTCCTCTTAATCTTAGGGATAATCTTTTCCAGAGATACATATACATAGTTTGACATACTCCTTTATTGACTCGACTGAGGTATCCGGATGCAGAGAGACCAGACTTGCATGTACTTCTTTTGTATACGACTAGCGGTATACGCTTAAAATGTTGAAACCTGCGAATTTTCACCCATTAGAATTATCTTAGAAGCTAATTTATTCTTCCGGAACTTTACAACCTTCCAATCATCATCAGTACCAACTGACTTTTTCTCCACTAACAATAGTTGAGATGATAATTTATTTTCAACAGTATTATTGCTTAGTGAGGATGGCCCTTAAGTTTATTTCGTTCCGCTACTGCCATTCGGTGCGTCCGAACCGTTATTTTGTGATTGTTAAGAGAAATTGCTGGGACGCTAGCTGCTGTTCTCTCACTCCCACCTTCACATCACATCAACAGCCTGTAATAGTCCACTGCTGGACATAGGCCTCTCCTTAGAAAGGAGGTTTTGGCCTACTATCCCACGCTGGCCAGAAGGGTTTTTTATAGGGTTTGGGTCAAGTTTTCCTTCTCATTGCAGTGTTGTTGTCCTACGTAGTTTCCCTTAGTCGGCTCTTACGACACCCACGGGATGAATTGGGGTGGTGACACTCAGTATTCTTAATCCGTCACACGGATTCCATCCCACCTTGGTCAGCTAGTATCTCGATCGGTACTTACATCTCGCTTACACTTTTTGATGCCACCAGTTTATACATTTTTGTAACTAATTCTCCAACTACCTTAACCAGGTTATTTATAATGGTAAAGTTCTTGTCAATTGTTAGCTGTTGATCTTATTCGTCTTATTGTATACCTCAATCAGTGTCGATTGGTTCGAAATCTTCCATGTCAGCGCTGCATTGTAAGGTAAAGTGATAAGAGAACGTAAAAATGTATTTTTTATGGCATTGGGTGCAAACGACCAGACAGGTCACAGGATGGTAGGTAAGTGACTACCGCCGCCCATGGACACTTGCAAGTATTTTGCAAGGAAACGATGATGAGGGCTATCGTAAACTCATTTGGCGTCCGTAAACTCTATGTGGGCACAGATGTTTACTACGCAAATCGAAAACCGTCGCCATTCACAGATACCATCGATTGTAAAAAAACAATTGATATAAATAATTACCTAATAGGTCTTCTAGTGGTTGAGGAGAGTATCTCGGCATGACAGCGTCTGGTCCGATTCTTACGTAGCTTGCTACCCTTGAGTAGGAGGATTTTGTCCGGAAGGCCGCTGGATATGCTCAAAAGATACAAGTACTTGGTAGAGTGGCTCAGGCATCACACCATGGAAGAAGCTTCAATGGTGTGATGCCTTGGGGTTTTAAGAAGTCCAGTCCCAATAGTCGCTGCATTGTTGTGTATCACATCATCACAAAGCACCAATACAAAAGTGCTATAAACAAAAAATAGTACCTGGAGACTACAGCCACTACTCGTAGGTGAAATGCTGAAGTTAAGAGTTTTCTATGAAAATATATAAACAAAATTTATAAGTCTTAGTCTAGTTCTAGTTTTTGTGCATTTTGGCCTACCAAAATAAGACTTCATATTGAGTCTATGCGTACATAGACGTATATTGATTCACTCCCTTGAGCTAGAGATCCTCTCCAATGATTGCAATGAGGACCCGACACTACGACGCCCAAGCCGGGTAAATTGCTAGCGCGTGCTAAGCCGATTCCTCACTGCTATTGCAGTGGTGACAGGCGGGACTTAAATCCCTCCCAACGACCGAGAAGGAAGATTCGCTTTATATCATTACGCTATGCGGCTATAATGTCAGTAAGAACAAATTCGAGTCACTCAAATCGAAAACGATGAAACAGCGTAAATTTATGCGTATTCATAATTGAAAAGGAAGTATAATATACAAGAGGAATTGATTTTTGATATTATGATTTACATATACTTTACTAATCTATATAGTGATATCGATAATAAAAAACCAAGACTTTGATTATTTTTATTAACACGCTTTTATTAGCTTGGCATGTATGCATGTGTCTATGAATGTATTTAACGGAATCTTCGAACGTGACCTTGAATCGCTTCGCGCTTTTATGTAAGGGAAGGAAATTGATTGGATAGATGAATCTACGTTCAAGAAAACTGTATAAACACTTAATTTATTTTTTTAAAGAAGACAACCAACCATAACTGATTTTTGTTTTGTTAATAGCGTTTCCTAATTGACAATGAAAAAACAGCCTGAATCCAAATTTTTCATGTAGACAATGCCCGACTTTAAATTATGTCGTAGGTATCTTTGGTAAAACGTTAAGGCGATACACCATATGTATTCGACATAATGCAAATATTAATTCTACACTAAGAACGGAAAAATCGTTTAATTAATCGTAATTGTAATCACAAGCTTATCCGGATATTATATTGTTATTCATAAAATCTAAGAGGTGGGACTTAAACACCGTTGAATAAACTCATAACTATACCGTACTGAAATATAATATTGATATCTAACATTTGTGGTAAAATATCCTGGAATACAGATGAAGCAGAAGCAGCAGATGTAGCAGACATATTAATATAATTGTAAAGAAAAATAAACTAAAATTAAAAAAATATATATATTGTTCAGATATAACTCTTTTGCGAATGTTCTTAAAAAGTGTTTAAATGGTTGTTGGTTACTAAGT